AGTGATTTGTCTAGGGTCACGTGTAAGCTTAGGTCTTCCCGATTCAAAGTTTAGCACTCTATTCATTATACCAACTAGCCAGCTAGTTGCTAATAAATCCCCAATGCCCCTGAACACAAATCATTAGACTGTGAACTCCTTGAGAGCAGGAGTGTGTGTGTGTGTGTGTGTGTGTGTGTGTGTTCGCTCTCGAGTGCACTCCCGCACATTTCTCTGTATCCCTAGCACGTAGCACAGTGCCTGACACATAGAAGGCACTAAATAAATACTTGTTGACTGACTGACAGGTCATGAAAAAGTGATGAATCTTTCCAGTCTCGGCAGCTACTTCATGAATTTAAGAGTTAGTTGAGTTGGTAGAGGTGGTGTCTGCTATTATAACACTTCTTAGTTAAGGAGATAACCTTTGAATGGATTATCCTGTAACTAAAGGGACTGAAGGGCCAGGCCTAGCTGGTCAGAAGTTCTGGACTTTGTGAATTGCTCAGACAGCAGAGAGGTATGAGCTACAACCGATTATCTTCAACACAACACATGACAACAGCCATGAGGACTGGGGAACCAGCCAGGAGCTGCTAAGCCATTTATGTCTTTCAGCGAGGAGCCAGAACACAAGTCCCACTGGAAGGGAATGCGTTGAATGCCAGCTCCATGGGATGTACTCTAGTCCAATCATGCTACTATAGGAAAATGATGTATACACATATATGTATATATAGAGAGAGACAGAGACAGAGAGAGAGACAGAAAGACAGAGACGGACACACAGAGAGACAGAGAGACAGGGACAGATACAGATACAGAGAGAGAGAGAGAGAGAGAGAGAGAGAACTCCCCACAACAACCCTGCGAGACAGGTATAGTTTGAGTATTAATATCTTCATTTTACACATCATAGGATCATAGATTTAAAGGTGAAAGGGACCTCAGAGACCATCTTTTCCAACTCCATTTCACAGATAAAGGAAGTGAAGCTCAGAGCAGTTAAGTGACTTCCCTAGGGTCATATAGTTAATTGGTGTCTAAGACAGGATGAAACCCAGCTCTTCTGACTTTAGCATAATTTCCCCTACTCTGCCTGCCTTTCAGTAATAGTTCTTTCCCTCTCTCTCTTTCTTTTTCTCTCCCCTTCCTCTTTCCCTCTTATCTCTCTCATTCTCTTTTCTCTTCTCTTCTCTGTTTCTCCATATATTATATAAATGTGTATATATGTGTATGTATGTATGTGCATATACACATACACCCATACATATGTGTGTATATCTATATCTATATCTATATATCTATCTCAGGGGCAGAATTGATCTATAGGGCCCATTCTAGGAACCATGGGCTTGGAAGTTTTCAAGGGAAATCTGAGCACATGCTCCCTGGAATGTCTCCAATAGTCCAATTCAATCCCTACTACTCCCTTCTCTTGGTTAAATATTGGCCATCCTCTGCAAATCACCTGGGGGTGCATTTTGCACATTTGTCCATATTTCAAATTTTAGAAAGTTGTATGGGGTTCTGGGGAGGCTGGAGTGTTGTCCTTTCAAGTGCTTTCCCCAGTGCCTTGTACTAAAGTCTTGGGGCAGCTAGGTGGCGCAGTGGATAGAGCACTGGCCCTGGAGTCAGTGAACTCAGATAACATAACACTTGCTAGCTGTGTGACTCTAGGCAAGTCACTTAACCCCTGCCTCACTAAAAAAAAAAAAAAAAGAGAGAGATACTAAAGGCTTAAACAAGACATGTAGCATAATTCTTATTGGTCTGGTAAATGCCACGTAAAGAGTCTCACCATTCCATCCAGCACAGTCCTTACATACACGGTTCACAAAAATTACCAGTCTTTAGATAGAGTTCCTAGACCAAATACAACTGATTTATCTGGAGATCACAATCACTTCCAAACACGGTTATGTAAATTTAACAAACAAGAATGCTTTCTTGTCAGAAGTTATCATTTGATTAATACTTACATAATTTTGTCGTTTCTACCTTCATACTATTTCTCCTCTATGTCCCCTTCTTTCCATTCACAGAGCTGCCACCTTGGTGTAGGACATAGGTGTCACACATGGGCCCTCAACACCCTCAACTGTGGCCTGAACCAAATTAAAACTGAATTGGAAAATATTTAACAAAATAAAAATATGATTAAACATAATGTTAATAAGTGATTTTCTAGGTTAACATGTGGCTCTCAGAGACCCTTAGGTACAGTTTGGTGCCCCTCCCCCCATCTTTTCTATTTGAGTTTAACACCACCCATGTAGGCCCTCATTACCTCCCACCTGGACTTTAGCAATAGCCTTCTTTTTGGTTTACCTGACCCAAGTCCCTCCCCACTCCAGTCCATTCTTTACTTAGCTGTCAAGGGCTCTTTCTGAAATATAGGTCTATGTCACCCCCCCTCTCCTAGTAATCTTTAGTGGCTCCCTATTGCCTCCAGATTCAAATATAAAATCTGTTTGACTTTTTTATAATCTGGATCCTTTCAGTCTTCTTATACTTTATGCTCCTCCTTGTACCCTACAAATCTACAACAACCCCCCCTCCCAACTTGGTATTCCTTTGACAGACATTGGCTCTTCCTTATGCCTGGAGTGCTCTCCCTCCTCAACTCAGCCTGAAGGCCTTCCTGGCTTCCTTCTAAGACTCAATTCAATTTCCTTCTTCCAAAGGAGACCTTTGTGTTCTCTTTCCCACAACAACTTTCCTTCTGAGATGTCTTCCATCTACTCTGTGTAAGTATCACGTACATATATAGCTGTTTGTAATGTAAGCTCCTAGAGGGCAGGAACTGTGTCTTTGCCTTTTTATATGGCCCCAAGAAACAGGCTTTGGCCTCTGCATTTGTTCTCAGTTCTAGGTGAAGGGAGCTGAGTCTCCAACCCTGTGAGCTTCAAAGCTCAGAAGCAAGCCACCAGTCTTGGTTGGACACCAGACTGAAGTCTGTAGTCTGTGCTGTATTGATGCCCCAGAAACAAGAAGTAATTTTTGGGAGTACCGTTTGGACCCAGGCCAGAGAAAACTGAGATGAAGACTCATTTGACAGTAGGGTCATATCTGGACATGAACGTGGGTAGCCAAATGCTATGTAGGAACTGAGCTAAGTAATACATATGTCCCCAGATGTTGTGGGAAATGTTTGTATTTGTTCCTGCTGTATCTTTGAAATAAATATCCCTTTGTAAATGTAATTGATATTAAATAGAATGGCACTTAACAATAGAGGGAACACAGCTGGTTGATGCTAAGAAGGGATTAATTTGGGTCAGCAGAAGAAGCTACATGAATCCAGTAGTGAAAATCCAGACAAATTTTTGCAACCAGCCCAGCATCAATGTCCCAAGGAGCAAGGAGTGGTCTACTGGACCCTTTGTTAAAGCCAATTGATGTTAAGTGGTTATATGGAACTGAGCCACTGGGGAGATAGCAGCCTATGAGGGCTCCAGATGGTGGTATTAAAGAAAAGAATGCTCCTAACCCCCTTAGGATACTCCAGACATGGATGGGGAACCTGCGGCCTCAAGGCCACATGTGGCCTTCTAGGTCCTCAGGTGCAGCCTTTTGACTGAGTCCAAGTTTTACAGAACAAATTCTTTTATTAAGGGGATTTGTTCTGTGAAGTTTGGATTCAGTCAAAGGGCTGCACCTGAGGACCTAGAGGGTCACATGTGGCCTCCAGGCCGCAGGTTCCCCACCCCTGCCCTACAAGGGTGAAGAGATGGAGCCTGCTTGGCTCTGAGGAGAGTGAGTCAGAGCATATACTTAACACACACACACATATAGTCATGGACCTGTGATCTCATAGGTATTGTGAACTCTCAGGGTTGAAAGTCCTTCTGCCTTACCTTTTAGTCACTCAGTCTCAGAAAATTGCCAGGGGCACTGAGAGGTAAAATTACTTGTCCAGCGTCTCTGATCCAAAGTCCTAGGGATGTCAGAGGCAAGACCTCAATTTATGTCTTCCATCCATTACACCACACTGCATCTCGCATATGATTTAAGAATTTTTTTTCAACAGCACTGTCCTCACTTCAATTCTATACTTTATTATTCTCATTTTACAGATGAGGATTTTAAGTGGCAAGTCACAAATCACGCAACTGATATGTTTCAGCATCCATTCGGGACCTCCTGACCCCGAGTCCCATATGGTCTTCAAAGATCCAAGATGAGTATGAAAAGACATGGGAACTTCACTCGGCTCCTAACCTTCCCCGGGAGAGCGTTTGACCACCGGGCTCTCCTCGTCGCCCTAGATCCATCCTTCCTCCCTCAGAACTGGGGACAGGGTGCACCACGCACTAGGGCCTCACTTTCCAGGAAGGCCAGAGGTCTTGGGAGTGGAGGGGAATCCTTTCTGCGAGGGAAGAGGCAAATGATTTGCCCGGGGAGAAAAAAAAAATGTGCTGTGCGCTTTGTCTAAGTGCAAAGAAGGCAAAACTTATTTAGGACTTGTAGATCTTAGTTTCTCCCGATTCCTCTGAGAGCTCCGACCCCATTCCCCGCCCACCCTTTTTTTCCCCACCCCTCTCCCAGTGAGAGCCCAAAGGACCCTTTAATTCATTACTGGACGGCTCCATCCCACCACCCAGAGAAGCGGGCATCCCTGCTGGGAGATGCTGAGACTGAATTCCTAGGGCGAGGTCACTTTTTTTTTCTTTTATGCCTTTTAATTCATTCAGGATAGGGCACTCCCCAGAATTTCTGATCCCTCCTCCCTCTCTTCTTTCAGTCCCCGAAGAATTCCCTCCCCCTGCCCTCTAGATTCCTTTCCCTCTCTCCTTCCCCACCCTCTTCTCATTTTCCTCTCCTTCCTTTCCAGAAAAAGACCCCTCCCATGTCTCTTCACCCTGAGCTCGCTCCGAAGCCTGGGAGTCATTCACTTTCCTCTTCTACTTCCCTCCTCCCTTTTTTCTCCCCCTCCCTCTTCCCTCCTCCCTACCCCCCTTCTCTGGAAAGAACCACCCGGCTTCAACTTTGCCTCCTCAGTCTCCTCCAGGGCTCTTTGGTGGTGACTCCAGCCCTTGCCTATGCCCTGGTAGCCCATGGCATTGGAGCTCTCCTTTACCCACGAGGCTCCTTGACCGAAACGGTAATCCCCTAAGCCAAGTTGGGTAGCATCTCTGCGGCCGTCATTCCACTCACATTTCCGGAGCCAACAGGTAGGGAGCAAGCCACCTTTCTCATGATGCATGTGTATGACTCAGAATATCAGGTTGGGAGTCAGAGGATCTTGATTCAAATCCTGCGTCTCACTGACTTCGGTCAAGTCACTTCACTTCCTTGACCTCAGTTTCCTCATTTGTAAAATGAAGGAGAGTTGAATTACATGGTTTCTGAGGTCCCGTCAAGTTCAAAGCTGTGATTCTTTGATCCCATGACTCTAATGCATGAGAATTTTTCTCATTTTTGCTTAACTTACATTCCCATGCTCTCAAAGACCCTGGGAGGATCCCTGCAAAAGGGATGTGACTCTTGAGACAACAGAACTTTTCAGTGCTCCAAGGATGAGGACCTAGCTCAGCACCTCCAGAAATTTTCTGTTGGACAGCTTCTAGTCTGGGCAATAGAGTTGCAGAGAAGTTTTCTGCTACTACAGATGCTTTAAATATTAAGTGACAGTGTTTCATTTGGAATCCAAATGAAATTCTTGCTAGTTAAGCAGTACCGAAGGATTTGCCTCCCTTTTAATTTATGTAATTATTAACAGATGTCATTTTAAGAAAAAGGTGTAAAACCCATTCCAGGAAAGCTTACTCTTCTTGTTGAAAGTATCTTTGGCAGGTTTATAATGGGTGGTTTTCTTTTTCTCTGTTTTCCTTTTTCTATCAACCTAGCTGCACACAGACAAGCAAAAGAGCCCAGAGGGAGCATTCACAAAGTCTTGCCCATCCCCTTCATCATTTCCCCACTAGTGCCTCTGTTGGAGAGGAGAAGACTGTAAGTACAGTCTGGCTTTCTTCCCTATCTTTAATTTCCCCTACAGAGTTCTGAAATAGGAGTTGCCCCTTTTAACCTGATGGCTTTCATGCTGGGGAACAAGGGGTCCAGGGAATGAGCAAATCTGAAAATTCTTGAAAATGACTTTGCCATCTGTAGAATCGTATTTAGAATCAAACTAGCTCAATATTTGAGGGAGAAGAGAGGAGACGTCACCCACATGAGACATTTAGGCTTGAAAAGAGTAACCAAGCATTTTATAAGACTTGATTTTGATTAATAATTGTCAGAGGGTTTGAAGTCTAGAAAGGAATTGGACAGGGGAAGCAATGCTGGCAGTGTGACATTTGGTCTAGTTATAAATAAATGTTCATAGAATCATAGATTTCAAGGTGGAAAGCATCTTGGAGGCTTACTTAGGCCACTGCTTTCATTTTAAGGATGAGGAACCTGAGACCCAGAGAGGTTGAATAATTTGTCTCAGAACAAACAGGTAGTTAAATAATAGCACTAGAACTCAAACCTGTGTCCTCTGCCTCCAAATCCAGGGCTTACTTTATCTGTATTTTCTGTAGAAAGTGTTGGGAGGCAGGTGGGGGGTGGTGGTAAAGGTAATGAGTATTGGTTAGCATTGATTTTCTTCTGATTGAATGAACCATTTGTTTATTTCAACCTATCTTAGATAACCAAGTCATATTCACTGCATTTAAAACTGGTGTTTACCCACTGTGTAAGCAAATTATCTTTATAAGAAGGTATTTCTTCATCTCTAATATGCAGAGGTCAGAGTAAATGACCTCTGAGGTCCCTTCTAACTTGAAATCCTATAACACAGAACACAGAATCAGTCAATCAACAAGCATGTATTAAGTGCCTACTATTTGCTACTATTTGATGTACAAAAAGAAAAATGTAAGTTTCTGCCCTTAAGCAACTTACCTTCTATTGGAAATAAAGGACATTATTATTTTATTAAATTCATTTCAATTCAATAAGAGCCTACTATGTGTCAGACATTATGCAAAGCGCTGGCAATACAAAGACCAAAACAGTAATGATAACAATAATAATAATACCACCAACCCTAAACAGTCCACGACCTCAAGAAGTTTATATTCTATTGAAGTGATTTGTATTTCTAGATTTCATGTTCAATTCCTATTTGGTGTGACTAGTTAAAAGTGACAAGTGTCTAAGCTAAAAAGCATTGTGAGTTTAAGTAAATTGAAAAGCCTGGAAAATAGCCTACCAACAAGAATTTATGTGTTTTTTGCTTTAAGAAAACCCAGTATGCCAAAACCTAGAGGGCATGCCTTATTCATTTTGATGTTTTTTTTTTCCTCCTTATTCACTTGGCAGGAATCTTTGTTTTACAGAAGAATTCATTGCAGGATTTCTTTAATGAATAAGTTCCAGGTTAATAGATCCAAATTTCTTTGAAACAAAGCTTTCTAGAAATACACCTACTGTATATAGTGAGACTGTACTGCTAAGACTTTGAGGCACCCAAAACAATTGGAAACTTTTAAAGTGAACTGAAGTAACCATATGACTGAATCAGTCAGCTGTGCCTCTGCCATCAGCCTTCCCCCCAAACTATTGCAAAATGTCACCGACATTATTTTGTTTCCATTCTTCAAACTACATTTAAAAATAGGCCCACAGACTTTCCCAATATCAATTGGAACAGTCTTTTGCCATTTGTTTCCATAGAGAAGCCAACAAAAAGCTTAGGATTTGTTTATTGATTCAAGTATTCCTAAGTCTCGACATACATGACGTGGGGAGTGAGCTAACGAGAGTTCCCGCAGCATGATGAATGGGATGGCTGTGCAACTTTAGAAGATTCAGCAGGGATCTGGGTCAGGGGAAATCAATTGGCACAGCCCTGATGGTTGGCAAACATCTCCCAGAAAGTTGGCTGCTAACGGATAATATTATCCCTCCGTTCATCAATTCATACTATGTAGACTACATGGGAGGTTTTCTTAATGTAATACATTCCATGTGTGAGAGGCAAAGGATGGTGGATTCGACTTGGAAGTCAGGGTTCAAGTCTCACTTCCGACAGTAACTAGTTGTACAGAATCATTTAACCTTCCTGAGACTTTGTATCCTCATTTGTAAAGTGGGGATAATAGCACTTTCCTTACAGAGTTTGTCCTAAGATTTAAATGAGATGATATATTATTATATTATAATATATTATAATATCAGTTATCATGAAAGCATTTTACTCTATTACTCTGTTAACCATTTTTGTACTGAATCTTTCAAAGTAAAATATAATTCACAGCTGAGTGAAAAATAAGGAGAGGAACAGAGATAGGGCTACACCTGTGATTCATTGATTCATTGATATAGGGAATTATCTAAAAAGGCACCTCCCTCTGCCAGTGCAGGTCAGTACTTTGTACCTTAGCTTGGAAAGCCACCCAGAGCCCAAAGAGCAGGGATTTTAAACCTCAGAGCTTCCTGGTTTGGGGCCATTATTTATCCACTGTGGCACACTGAATAATAATTCAAATGAATACAGTAAGCCTCAGTTTCCTCTAGTATGAAATGAGAGAGTCAAATTGGATGACCTCTGAATTCTTCCAGCTTGAAAATTCTAAGTCCCCGAGTCAAAGTGACAAGAATCGCTATGTTCTGTCTGGTTCTGCCACCTAGTGGTCTTGAGGTATAAAGCATGAGAATTTCTAGCCAGGAACGAAAAATTGTCATGTACCCGCAAACTGGAAAATTAATGATGTTTCTCATTTAATAAGAAAATCACAGAATTTTAGAGTTAGAAGGCACTTCAGGGATCACACGAGCTAAAAATATGTCAGAGGGTTCTTCGTAGGAGGAAGTTGATATTGTTTCAATTTTCAATTTCTCTAGCAACAATTAATAAACATTTAATAATCACCTGTTATGTGCTAGGCACTGTGCTAAGTACTGAGTAACACCCTACTCTTTATGACTTTGACCTTTTCAGTCATAGAATCATAGTATATAGAGTAAAAAGGGAACTTAAGAGATTATGTAGTCTAATTTCCTCATTTCATAAATGAGGAAATAGCCTAGAGGGGTTTAGTGATTTACCCAAGGTCACGCAGGTAGTAAGCAGAGTCAGGATTTGAACCTAGGTCCTTTGACTCTAAATGCAATGTCCATGCACCACAATGCTTCCCAAACCACATGCATTTATTACGTACTTACTATTCTGTATTGTCAAAGGACTTGGGTTCCAATCATACCTCTGATGCTTACTACCTATGTGACCTTGGTCAAATCACTTAACTTTCTGGGCCCCATTTTAGAAGGATATATAAGCTCTAGGCCAATGATCTATCAATTTGAATGCCTCTGGGACAAAGACTATATCTTAGACATAAAAAGTAACTCTCTCCCCTCCGTAGGTCCTAAGTGTAGTGATATGTCCCTATGGAAAACTCAGTGAGGAAGATTTTTTTTCTTGAATACAAATTTCTAGATTTTTCTGGCCTTGGAACTGATATTTTTAGTCCCCAAGGGCATCAGGGCTTAATTGAGAGCTTTACAAGTGATGGAGACAAAACCCCTAATGCACTCCTACCCAATAATTGAGGCACATGGAACCTGACATGTTCCATGTTGAACTGTTGAATATAGGGGTTAAGAGTTAAGATTCATTTAAATATGAAGAGGAAAATAGGTTACACATGTGTAACCAATTCTGTATTTTTTTTTTTTGCAAGGCAATGGGATGAAGTGACTTGCCCAGGGTCACATAGCTAGTAATGTCAAGTGTCTGAAGCCAGATTTGAACTCAGGTCTTCCTGAATCCAGGGCCAGTGTTCTATCCACTGCACCATCTAGCTGCCTCCCAATTCTATATTTTCTATCTGTTAAAAATAAGTTATTGAAATACAAGTATCATTTAACTAATAGGAATCTGATAATCTTTTAAAAAATATCCTTGACTAGAAGAGACAAAAAAAGGGTTTTAGGGAATATATATTTGTTTACTGACATCACCAATCTGAATTTACAACTGGCTTTAACTTCAGCAAGGTGTGAAAGACAATTCTAAGCTCCTCTGTTTGACCCCAGAGGGTAAAAGTAGGAACAATGGGTGGCAGCTGCAGAGAAACAAATTTAGTTGCATGTAAGCCCCTTGGAGGCTAGTATCGTTTTTCACCTTGGCTTTGTATTCCTGGCACCTTGCACAGTATCTTGCACACAGTAGGCATTTAAT